TTATATCTTTTCAAATGTCACTTAATGACTGGTTGTACTGAATTGACACATTTGAAAATTTTAAATACTGAATTATTGTATTTTAAAATTCAGAACCAAAGTAACACTAGGCCTAAAATACAGGTACTAATAGAGAATTTATTATTATAAACTTTATCTTTATAAATTTAACCAGACTCAAACCTTAATTGGATTGGATGAGTTAAGCCCATATATGACGTGATCTATCAATTGGATGCATATTACGAAAATCCAAAGTGTTGAATTGGGTTATGAACTTTGAAAATCCATTGACAGCCCTACTCACATAAACTCTGGGAGAGTGATCTTGGCACATTCCATTTTTGATAGATATGCTACCTCTGATCATGTACCTGTTTTATAAGGCTAAATACGCTAACATGTCTTGACCTTTATCATAACTAATAATGCTTTCATTTTCATTTCATTGCCGCCTGGGGATGTGATCTGTTTATCAAAATTATAATTTTAGGCCCGGTCCGGGGACCTTTCTTTGGTGGGTTGGGAGGGTTTCCCGCCCCGGAATACCCTTGCTGGGTCGCTTGTACTCAATTATAATTTATAATTACTTTGTGTATGAAAATACTTTGAGAAAGCAAAGAAAATTTAGGTTGCGTTTGGATAAACATCTGGATTTATATTTTTAAAACCCTCAAAAAATAGACAATACCGCAATTTAAGTGCCCTTTTGGGTGGTCTGAGTGGTGACTTAAGTTGTCTTTAAAAAAAAAAAAGATAAACTAGTTCAGCAGCTCCGATTAAATTATCCAAAGAGGCTGAAGCAGACAGTTCAAAACCTTATTATTACATTTGGGCCCTCCGGATTTTTCACCGATCATAGCTTAAAGGCTATCGATGTAGAACCTATCTCGGAAAGGTTGAAATTATTGCAATTCAGTGCTATCTCCCAAATTAGCACTTAGGCTTTGTTCTTTAGGCTGCGTTTGGAATCAGTGTAAAATGTTATGTGTAAAAGCACATTGATGATGTTTTATGCTTAAGTGTCATTAAGTGTGATCGTTGTATTTTTGAAAAACGTAATATAATTAGTGTAAAATTTTACATCGATTTACGTATGATGAAATTTTGCACTGATTTATGACGTAAAATATGTACAAAATTGAACTGGAGTAGAATTTTATGTCAATAATTATTATTACATACTCTTTCCAAACACGGACAAAACCAATTCCAAATGAAGCATTAAGGCTTAAAAGTTGAAAGTGTTTTGGTTCCAATTTTCAAACCAATTGTTGAAAACACTTAATTGCCCAACCTCTCTTTATAGTTTTGTCAATGTATCTGCAATAACGACAATATTGATGCACCAGCAGAGACATTTTGTTCAATGAATTTGACTATGATAGTAGCTAATCAGATCAAAATCCAGGGATGATTTTGACTGGCCAAAGCCCTTCTTCTGATATCATACCTTTTCTGGCATCTGCTTGATCTCCTAATGGCTAGAAGTGTAGAACAATATTGGGACTGTTTGAACCCTAAGTGGCCTACCAATCAATAATGTATTGATATTGAATTCAAGTCTCATAACATTGACCCAAACCCTCTACGTCCGATAAAGGTAATTTGGAAAATAGGTGCATGGAAAGCTTCACACAGCCCTTTTGCCTAGACGACTTAGAAGTTATATCAATCAATCAGAATATTGGTGCAAATTAGGACTGGGTAGGCTAGGTGAACCCTAGTCCAATCCAACGTATTAAAATCTTCAACTCAAGGGTTTCAACTTTCAACTAGGTTTAAACATTATCTATCAATTAGCACGTATTTTACATATAAACCCAATACAACTTTTATATCATATTAGCATTTTCCAACCTTTACCGGTTGAACCCAACCCTAAACCCACCCTTGTAGGTTGGGTTCGGTTCGGTCTGGCCTAATCCCCTGATAGATTAAGCCACAACAAGTTTTAGACATTAACGTGGGGAAAAAGGAACAACACTATGAATTAAGGGGACTAGATCGACCCCATGCACTATGCACTGTGGAGATGTGAAACTTTAGTTGAAGAATGCAGAAAGATGGTGGAAGAGAATGAGCTGAAGGCCCCTCGTTCTCATATCTAGTGTGAAGGCAATCAGGCAGCGGACGGACTTGCCCGTTTCCCTCTTGCTCACATGTTGTATCTCTCTCTGGCTTGGATTAGAATTCCTGAACCTGACTTAAATAATTTCATATTTACATGTATAAATGTTATATAAATATGTATTTGTATATATATATTGATGCATGTATGTACATGCAACCATGCATCAATAAATGTATATATTTATATATTTATGTTTTTTTGCTACAAATATTTACATGTTTATGTATGTACATATTTATCTATGTATATATGTATATGCATGTATATTGTATTTCAAAGATTTTAGGTTTAAAGGCATTTTTTTTCTAAGTATGATAAATATGATCTTTTTAGACATAGTAGTGCTAATATTGAATAACATGAACCCTTATAATCTAGTAAATAAATACATTTAACAAAAGAAAATAGAGAAATTAGACCAACCCGAACCAAACCTAACCTGGACTGACTTACACCCCCCAAAACAAAACATATGGCGTACTTAGCAAATCAAATTGTGGACCGGACTTGTATTAAAAGAAGATTAAACTAAGGCTGTGTTTGATTGCAGTGCAACATTATTTGCACTAATACAAATGAATGGGAGTGCAAATTTTGATTTAATTTTTATTTTGGGTTTTAACTTATCCTGCTTCAGGTCTTATTTTATTTCATTTGTACTGTAATAATAAGGTAAAATTTGAAATAAAAATAAATCAAAATTTGCACCCAAATCATTTACACTATCAATGTTTTGCATCAATACAAATAAATTTGCACTACAATCAAACGCAGCCTAAAGCAAACATCACATTGGGAAATGGGATCTGCTTAATCAAAGTTTGAAACGTTTGACCCGACAGATTAGGCCAAATTAATCGAAAGAAATGTAGCTTGGTACAAATATGACCGGCACATGAAACCAATTTGCCCCAATATATAATATGGGCACTCTTGTTGACCAAACATCCTTTGTTGGTCAAAGAATCAATGCAAGAAGGGATATATCATGTATGTGCAACAAACGCTTGGTCCACACATTGAACTGTTAATTAGACTTGGATGGAATATGCCAATCTCTACCTCAGTGATTCCTTTGACAAATACCATCATTTGGAACCTTTCAACATTTTTTTTTTCTTTTTCTTTGAAATTCAGACCCTTCAGAAATTTGGTCCTAAGATGTTATTTTTAGGTGAGGTGTTTGGCTGCTTAACTTTAGCTCCCACTGGAATGCTTTCCAGTGTCAAACAATAAATCTTTAAGGAAGAGAGGGCTAAATTGAAGAAGATTCAACTAAGTTGGTTCAGCTGCTTTAAAGTGCTTTCCATAAACTATTCAAAGAGCTTAAGTGGACAGCCCTTCAAATAACTGATTGACAGTCTGTATGGGTTTTCCACTCCGGATTTTTCACCAAAGCTTATGGGCTGTCTGTATGAAGAAGCCCACCCTGAAAAAGGCACATGTTTGGTAACATGTGGAAAACTGCATTTTTTGTTTCAAACAGCCAATAGACTATGCTGTAGACTCAATGAAAGCCCACCACCTGTTCTCTACATGCTTGTGGTTTCCTCTCGTGTGATAAGCAATGGACACTATAAGCATCATGTCATGTGTTAACCTTTTCATATGTTTTTTAAACATCCTGAACCTGTCTCCCAAGTCCCATCTCGGCATCTCCTTCTCATCAGACTTGACCCTCTCCTTTCCCAGTTCACCGAACCACAACCCACCTGTCACTAAGGTTTTTCAAACAAAGCAAGCACATTTGCATCGCTAATCAGATCAAAAGGGAGTGGGCAAAACGAGATTAATTTAACCCAGTAAATAGATTCATGAGAATGCAATAAGATCTAGCCGTGAAATGGAAACCAACCCATTCGGATGGAAATGTTAAGAAATCTAATGTTGTTTTTGAGTTTTGGAGTGTTTAAAATTCCTAAAATCCAAAGCATTAGGAATGCAGGTTTTGAAGGGGATTGTATGCTATGTTCTGTTTCAGAGTTGCTTGGTCGTGTAGTTTCTTCGTATGCTGTTGTTTTGGGTTAGTTGAATGGAATCGTTTTTCTACCAAACAACAATAACAACAAGAAGCGCTAAAATTTTAGAATGCTGTGGAGAAACTGCAGAACTCAGCCCATTCATGACTCCCATAAACAAACCTTCATGATCTCTCATTTTCACCCCAAAAGATGCAAGCACTCTTCTTTTAGAAGCATCGTCACATTGTTTCTGGTTGGTTTATCAGCATTTTAATTGAAACAGAAACAGAAAGAGGGGGAAAAAGGAGAAGGATAATGGAATGTTTTATGGTGCCTTTCTATTGGGTCTACAGCAAAATCTACAGCCGTTAGACTACATCAGATCTGGATTCCCAGTTCACATATGGTCACGGCAATTCTTGTGACCCCCAATAAACGTTGGCGCACATGCACATACACATACACACAACTATTAAACAAAAATAAGATAATTCCTGTATTATTTGAAAATACTGCAACCATGGTCACAGCAGATGTCGGTGAGGCTTTGTTCAATAAGATGTGAAAAACATACATGTGGTTTCATTTCATGGAGTTATCGTTGGTTGTTGGCTATGAATTATTCAAGAGTTTTGATTGGTCCTAGTCTTTTCAGTATATATCTTTTCTTTCCAGCATCATAGATTGATACGTTTATATAATGTTTATACATGCAAATCAGGTTAGGGTTGGACCAAGTTAATCAAGGCTTCAGCAAGCTAAAGCCCAAGTTGCAGCCCTACTTAGCAGAGTCCCTCGATACAAATTATTTTTATAGCATCCGCAAATCAGATGATATTTTCGATGACGCAGAGTGAACGAGTGAGTGTGTGTAGAATGCAGAAATATCGAAAAGCAAACATGGGTTATGAAATGCAACCACTAGACCTTCAATTCTCTATCTAAAGATGGATGCATTATTTTAAGATTTCTCAATTCTCAACCATCAACCATCGGTCCATCTAACACTAGAGATCCTAGGTAACATAGTGACAGGATAACGAGGTCAAATGCATCTTTTAACCAGTTGTTTTATATTGAAGCTCTTAAATTATGCACGCAAGTAGCGACTCATCCACGATTGAAAGCGAGACCATGCCAACTCCACTGCAGCACTGTCTTCATCTGTCAGTCCCATTCCTTTCCTCCTCTTCACAGCTTCAGGAGATGTGTTCAAAAAAGCATGCCCATTGCCTGGATAGATATGCACCTCATATGGAATTCCTGATGATTTAAGCCTCTCTTCCAAGGATTTAGCAGCCTGAGATTTCAAAGTTTGAGGGGGGGGGGGGATCAGTAAATACACATGTAACTTCTAATCTCTGATGTTGGAATTGAGATTTGTTCCTACCGACCTCACAGGCACATCCCACATCCCACCGTCTATTGGGAGCATCTCCAAACTCCAATGAATAATAACACACATGGACGGGAGATGTTCCCGATGTGGGGTTGAAACGTGCCGTGAGGAGTAGATCTGGACTCAAGATGTTGATACTCCTAAAATAATTTCAAATGGAAGGCCAGGAATGGGGAGTGAATTTGATATTATCTAGCAATCTCTACAATATTTTATCGAAAAAAAAGCAATTCTCCAATATGCATTTGTTTTAAAAAAATGTGTCATTTTTTTTCTCCGTATTTACCAAAACAAAGCAACTGGGAAAAGATTCTATTGGATGCATCTTCCACGTAGGAAGCTGGGGCATTTTACAGGCCTAGCAGAAAACGCCAAAACAACAATGCAATGCCACATGCTTATTTCATACAAAATTCCTTCAAGAGTGAATCAGAAACTAAACAAGAGGGCCTGACAAAATATTCCATATCACTCTCTTATTGAGCTTTTGATCTATAATACCCAGATAACTATACATGCTTAGCGTGCCAATATCATATCTGATACTCTTCGGACATGATACCGGATACTACAATAGATACTTCTAGATGTACCCTGTAGCATTTAACACTTCTAACATACATAAAGTGTTATGCTTTAACCAAGGTTCAAAACATTGATACTCGCCATCGTCATCGTCCATGCCTTACCCAACTATATGGGAGACAGGATGGACTCCCCATACCCATCCCTCCCATGAATTGGGAACATCTCCCCATGGCAAGCACAGTAGTTATTCCCAATGCACCAGGGGGGTGGACTGTGGGGTGTGCTCTGTGGGAGCCCATCCGAACTCAACTATATGGGGTTGGCTAAATGAATCTTGTTTTGCCATTCCTTTCTATTTAAAGCCATGTTGAATTATTAGAGATATGTAAAAATTGTGTATCATGAGTTTTCAACAAGCAATGCTCCTTTCTTTCTCTTTTTCTTTTTTTTTTTTTTTTTTTTTTTTTTTTTTTTACTTTTTCAGTTTGATACTTCACAGATAAGTATGTTAGGATGGACATTAACATTTGAAATCATTAAAATGCTCCAACTCTAAGTATTTATCATTTTGGTGACCCTTGATACCAGTGTGATGCAATCCGTTGAACCTTAGCCTTAACAAATTATACTATAAAAATATTTGCATGTTTTAGAAATTTAAATAAATTTGGCAAGACATAAGTCTGGGAAATGACATTTTTCTTCAAAAACTAGATAAACACATGATATAAGAAATATTATATGGGATGCCTGTAACCATATCCCTGTCCAAAATTTTAGGAAATGGAGAGTTGTATCGTATTTCCTGTGTCCAGGTTCATGTCTACATTCATACCTAAGCATCATAGCTTTTGATTATTTTCCAGTGATTTTCTGTTCAAATTGGAAGATATAAGGATACTATGGTGATCTAAGATCTTTGGGGCAAAAATTTAATTCCATGAGCATATTTCACATACATACACCCTTTAAATAATTATGAAAATGAGAAGTACTCAATGACAAATATGTGACAACTAAATATACTAGGAAATGAACAGAACGAAATTGATAAATGTTAATAAATGATCTTACCGTGACATCTGAAAACCCAACGAAGTTATCAAGCTCCCCAAAGTGAGCCTGCACTGGAGCCTTAGCTTGTGCAGGGTCAGCCAGCTCTGAGGAAGGAACTCCGTAGAAAGCAACGACAGCATCAACTTCAGGAATCAAAACAGAACTTGCAATTGAGAGAGCACCGCCCATGCAAAATCCTGTCACACCTACCTATTACAGTAAAGCAAGATGGTTACATGTAGGGTTTAGTTCAATGCATAACGTTGTTATGCTAATTGATCATGACATCAAAACTAATTTGAATGGGAGCTGATGGAAACTTCTAAGGGGTTATCCTTTTATTTTCTTTTGGTTTCTGTATTTGTTAACAAATGCAATGCTATAATGTTTGATAACATCTAAGCCTTTTGTAAGCACCCTTTCACCAGTTTGTTGTTAGGTTGAAAGTGCACTTTTTTTCTTGACGACATAAATTATACATTACATAGGGTCTGTTTGGTTCACATACAGAATCAGAGTCCTTCGGAATCAGAGTCGGAATTGTCTATTCCCCTAGCCTGTTTGGTCCAGACAGGAGTTGGAATCAGAATTGGAACCAGTTGGAATGGGATCTCATTCCTGAGGGGGAGGAATGGGGGAATGACCATTCCACCAGGAATGGGAATGGGATTCCGATTCCAGATCCCTATTACCACAAACTAAACAAGTCCTTACAAAGGAAGATATAAAAGGAAACTCCCTAACAGATCTACCATTCTACAAGAAAAAGAAGAACAATAAGGCCTTGAGAATAGAATCAAAATGTCTACAAGATTCATAATGAGTATAACAGTAATAGCAGAGGTCCATCAAATAACAGAAAGAATTATCATACCTTCTGTGAACCATTTGCCTTGAGCCAACTAACTGAAGCACGAATATCCTTAACAGCACCTTGCCAATCAAGACCATCCATTAAATGCTGTGCTTCAGCAACATCTAAACCAACCTTTCCACGATACAAACTGCAAACAGCAACAAGACACAAAAATTGGGTATGATGGTAGCCAATACCGGAAGATTCATTATTTTCTTTGATAATTATTAGAAGCCTAACTTTTACATATCAGAAGATAAGTTTGCCACCTTCCAAACACAGGAAAAAGAACAAAAATGCAGTATCATTCATCACTGAAATCTAACTTTTGTGCAAAAGCAAGACAATATCAATAGGCACAAAGAAATCTTACTCTGGGATGAGTGCTTTAAAACCAGGATCCATCTGGGAAATTTTCAAAGCATGGTTCTTGACCTCATAATCAACCCCCCACCACTCTTGCAACACCACTATGCCAGGAGCACCTTCTTTGCCCACCACATAAGCATCAAATGTCTGAAACAAAAATGAAAATTAGAAGGTATGTTCTTTACAAATAATCATAGGGTATTCTCTTGCAACACCACTATGCCAGGAGAACCTTCTTTACAAATATAGTATATAGAATTTGACATAAAAGCATAGAAAATCAGAAAAATCATTTAAGGCCTTTTTAGAGTTCAGTCCACCACAGAATTGTTTTATTGGTTTCCCAAATGTATTTATGCCCACCCATATAAACAGCCATCTCCCCGTGAATTGGGAATCGTTCCCCCTTGACATTGACCCGAATTGTACGATCACATTAGGAATTCTGAGGTGGACTGAACTCAAATTACCCCATCATTTAAAAGCTTGCCATGTTCAATTCAGTCATGTCAATTACATTTCTAGAATGAACTACCTTGTACCTAGTAAATCAAAATACAGAAAGCATTTTCTGTGACTGTTGCATACGACCCCAATGAAATGCAAACACGCTAAATAAAATGTGATTCCTTGAACTTATTGCAAATCCTGTCGTATTCGCAATTTATTGAGGGGTCCCCGGATTGTCCTGCCACCAGTCTTAGTTAATGCGATCTCATCAAAATAGCTCATTATTGGTAGAATCACATTTAACTTATTACTAAGGCCCGGGCTTTTTCTCTAAAACCAACATAACTTATTCACTTCCAAGGTAAAAACGTGGGATCTTTATTTCAGCTTCCAAAGGAATTTCTAACCAATACCAAGCAGGCAAGCAGTAAATTTCTTCTCCTCAATATAAAGATGCATATCTTACAGCTTTAATTTTGCAATTATACTTTGAAATATTTTTTCTGAACTTCTAGAACTATTCTTTTAATTCGTTTTTCTTTCACATTCATTTGGTAGATGCCCATGTCAGCTCTTTAGTCATAGACCACCTCGTACCCAGTAATAACTCAAATAAAATTTCTTTTTCATTTTCTTTTTGAGCTTTTTTTTATCAAAAATTTTTTTGATCAATTTCTTTTTTGAGCTTTCCATGAGTTTAGGATGTGGCTCTTTATTTTTCTTGGAAGATAAGTGATTATATTAGAAAGAAGGCAAAAAGAGGGATAGGATGTGGCTTCTTTATCTGAAAAGAGAAAAAAAAAAAACACCTGATCCTGATGAAACTTAAAAATCGAAAGCACTGAACCCCAGTTTATGGAGTGTAATTTGTAGGAAAAACTCTCATTTTGGCGCATTTCCTTAAAATGGACATGATAGGACACATCTGACAAACAAACAAAGCGCCATTGAAGAACTAAAATCGAGAAATCGATGCAGAATACTATTATTTAGAAAACCGCACAAAATCGATATCACAATCCATGAAATGAACACCGAAAAAAAGTGTACCTTAGTTAACAAAAAAAAAAAAAAAATCAAGAGACAAGAATAACTAAGCTACAGATAATGAAAAAGAAACAAAATGAGAGGTCCTGTAACTCACAATATCGTCTCTCTGAATCTGAATTTTCTTCAATTCGGAGGTCGCAGAACCCGCCATCGAGCGGATTTGGAATCGGCAACGAGAAGAAGAAGAAGATGAAGCAGAGAGTGCTCGGGGGTGGGTGAAGGTTCTTGAAGCGAGGGTTTTAACAGCTACTCCAACTCCTCGTAACGCCATCTTTTTTTATTCCCAAAAATTTCTAATAGTATAAAGGGATGACTAAAATTTCCATCGGTCCCTATGATCGACGGATTGAGCATAAAATAGTTAGATCATATGAAACACGTGGCAGGCGTAACGAGTAGTTGCTGAAGTTGGGCCTTGGAGCTGGTCCAACTCCAGTGGTTTATGTTAAACAAGCTGGGCCTAGACCCAGTAGGCCGACTCAAAATAGGGTTATTTCATGGGTCCCACTCCCGCCCAATGTCTTGTCTATTACTCTACTCTACACGAAATGACGAAACTGAAAGCAGAGGTGTAAAAGCATAATTTATGCCACATTAGAAAGCAAAAGCAAAAGCAAAAGCAAAAAGCAAAAGATGTTGAATAAAAAGAAAAAGAAGACTTGACCGAGATTCTCCATCTGTCTTTAACTTGAGAAACCATGATCACTTTCACTTCTGAGTTCTGTCGCTATCTCTCTAATGGGTTCTCTCTTGAGCCACAGACTGATATCAGAAACAGGGTCACCTTCTGGTTATTGGGTTGCTATAATCACCATTGTTGCTCTTTCCTTCTTCAAATCCACATTTGCTCAGTCAAGCCTCTGTAGGACCTCTTGTGGCGATATCCCCATCAACTACCCTTTCGGCATCGACGATGGTTGTGGAAGCCCTTATTACCGACACGTCTTCATCTGCTCAGATTCTGGAAACCTTGAACTGAGAACCCCTTCCGGGAGATACCCAGTTCGGAATGTGAGCTACTCCGATCCCCACATTCTAGTTTCTGATCCATTCATGTGGAACTGCGACGATGGCGACAACTTCCGTCCAACCAGGCCGTTCAGTCTCGACACCAGCAATCCCTTCTCCCTCTCCTCCCAGAATGAATACCTCTTCTTCAACTGTAGCGAGGACGATGTGCTCATCGAGCCCAAGCCCAGCTTCTGCGAGCGGTTCCCAGAACGGTGCGACTCGTCGTGTGACAGTGCTAGCTATCTCTGCCGGCATCTACCCGACTGCCCCGCGGAACTGAGTGGGAGAAGTTCGTGCTGCTCTTACTACCCCAAGGCAACGGAGTCTCTGAGGCTGATGCTGCAGTATTGCGCATCTTACACAAGTGTTCACTGGAGAACCAGCGGTGCAGCTCCGCCTTATGATCAAGTCCCCGAGTACGGAATTCGGGTAGATTTTGATATTCCGGTGACCACCCGTTGCCTTCAGTGTCAGGATAACTCCAAGGGAGGTGGGACTTGTGGATTTGATACCCGGTCGCAGAGTTTCTTGTGCCTCTGTCATGAAGGAAATGCCACCACTTTCTGTACAGGTATGTCACCCTGACCCATATATAGCTCATCAGCTATAGCTTTGAATAATGAATATTCAATGATTCAAGAACATACAATAATGCCAAGAGCCAACCCAATTTTCTGATCAAGGCCCAACAAGAAGATTTCTTAGGTCTAAAATCATCTGACAGATGATCTGTGGTCTGAAGAACATCATAGTTTTTAGCTTTGCATTCTTTCTTGGTTCTCTATTTGTGCACTTTTAATTTATGTAGGATCACTCATATCCACAGACCCCACCATTTTGATGAGCCCATGAATCCATGACATTATGTGGGGTGGGTAGAGGTATGACCGAAGACAGTGGCCCTGGTAGTGGTAGACTTTACATGATCTTATTAAACTGATTTATATTTTCTTTTTTTTTTTTTTATGGCAGATCATGGAATTTCCGGGCATAGTAAAAGGATAGGAGTAATTGCTGGTAAGAATCCCTTCTCAAAATGATAAAAGGGCAAATTTATTAAACTATCCTTACTCTTATAGTTTAATTAAACTTTACATATTGTCTTATAGTTAGAAAGAAACAAAATATCTAATTTACTCTTCACTATTCCTTAAATTTTCAAAATAAAACCCCTGATGAAAATTTTGCCCTCCCCTCTTTCCTTCCAGCTTCTTTTCCCACTATTTGATCGATGGTCTTTGACATCTTCTTAATACAAATACAGCCATGCCTTTGTGTGTTGCAGCTCCTCCTCAGCCACAGCCTGCAAATTAAGGAGGACATGGAATGAGATTTCATTCCACAACTACTTCAATTTTTGGGTGGAAGTTGGCCGTTCTCTTCCGACCCTCCCTCCAATATAATGACGTTCATCGGAATGGGATAGCTTGCTGGCTGGTTTAGCTATTATCTTCGTCATCTCATCATAACCCACCACCATACGCCAGCCCCATACCCTCGTAGCCATAACACATTATTTCGTTTCACACGAGCCTTCTCAGCCTTTTTTTTCAGGTAAAATTGATGATACGAGGCACCAACAATAAATGATTAACTCCAAACATTCTACAAAGAAATTTAGAGGTGAACAACGGTCAAAAAAGGAAAATATAGGTTCTAGGATGGCTCCTTAAACAACACCTGGATCCTTTATCAGATTGGTTTAAGACTGTTCAACATGTCTCTGCTCTTTGACTTCTTTGGTCGACCTTCATTTTTCAAAGAAAATCCCACACATCGTCAAGTAGCTCAGTAGAATGCTCATGCATTTCACCTCTGTCGTCCTTTCTTTTCTATTTACTGTCCACCATTGAACCTTCTTCCATATGTTTATGTAACCATTTGATGCTTCCGGTGTTAACCTGAAATCTGGGATCCAGAAATGTGGAGTATTTCTTCATCAAAGCTCAACCGTATCATGCTTCCAACCTTGATCACATGCCGCCTGTGGATTTCATTACTTCACGTTCCCGTCCATTGTGGGGTACATTCTGCCCTATGCTTGGGTGGGGATGGAGACGGTGAGAGGACATAGAGGAATCAGAAGAAGAAGGGGTTATTGTCATCTTGCTCTTCGTCTTAAGGTTGAGGACGATGAACAGTCCACAGGAAGGGTATTTTAAGAATTTTAAAAAATTTACCAGTCACGTGATATAACATGTGAACGAGTGATAAAAAATTAATGACAAGAGAGGATTTAGACAATTGTCAAAAACAATAATACTTCAAAACAATACATAAACAATAAGGATAGAGTTACTTAACTAAACTATAAGGATAGTTTAAGAAATTTGCCAAAAGAAAAATTATACATAGAATTGATGTAACGAGTAGTGTCCAAAATGGGCTTATGGCTATGTCTACGTTATTGCAGGGACGGCATCTGCAGTTTCTGTCGCTGCTGTGGGGGTTGCAGCTGCTGTGTGGTATATTAGAAAAGTGAGAGCTAAAGCACCAGTAACATGTGGAGTTCAGAGCAATGAAAATAGGCTATTTTGATTTTTCAGCAGTTTTGACTTTTGAGGGTAGACAAACTTTTACTGCATTTTTTCAGGTTCCTCTCTCTCTCTCTTTGCTCTTATTTCCTTCTTTTTAGTCGGCTTATAAAGTCAGCACGGAGTATGGTTATTGACGGATCATCTCATACCAATGGACGTCAAGATTTTGAGTGAAAATTTCCCTTGTGCTTTTATGTGGCCCAAAATGAATAAGTGATAATATATTGTAGGAGATTTTGAGAATGTATTCTAGAGCAACTTGTACATGTACCATTTAACATTTAAACTAGTTCTCAAACAAATTTAGTTATCGGAAATTCGGAATTCTTCGAATTGTATAGCATTGTAAAAATATTCTAGAAACTAGAAAGCTTACGAAGAAGTAGAATTCTTTCTATATATATAACGAGAATAGAATGACAAAGGCAGCAGCCAGCAGGAAATGATCTCGATTCCTTAAATATCATATTTCCAAATTCCAAATTCCAATACATTGGTGTTCGAACTCTGGATTTTCATATCAACTACCAAAAGAGTCTATCGCTTGTACCATCAACAAAAAAACGTAGTGAGAATAAGTATCCAACTCTAGCAGATTCTATTGAGAATGACAATGGAAGGAGACCCATTATTTGTATATCCCTACGATTAGAAGTGAGGTTACATTGCATAGGCGTTGTGATGAAGAAACGACATTCTTGATGATCAAATGACTACTTTACAAGCCTTTGTATTGATATTTTACCAAATTATAAGATGAAACCGTCAGTTATATTACAGATGAATAACTTACAAGCCTTTCACTAACATGTCCCTCAGACAACAACTACACACGCATCTCTCGAACAGGCTAAGTGTTTATCCAAGATGTTCAGTGTTGATCGCAGATACTTGTCGTTAGCATTCAAACAGGACTTTGCAATCTCCATTAGCCTAGAGCAGATTAGAGAGATTTCTGGATTTGCCTGCCAAACATACAAGAAATAATGGAGAATGAGAGAGCCGTGAACTATTTGCAGGTGCATACCAGTATTCATCTTTATAAGAAAGATGTGCATCAGAGATAACAGCAACAGAGGAGCCATTTTCTCTGCTTATCCCACAGATGCATTTTCTCACTGTCAGTAAATTCTCCTTTGGCCATCCAATAGAATGCAAATAACAAGTATCTTTGAGGTGGACATAATGGTGGATTCAACAACTATGCATATCCATCCATGTGCCTTACCTCTTTGACTCTTTCCAGAGATACAGATGGTTCTTCCAAATCCTCCCATACTTCTCAGGGACAGCACCAATGGCTCATCCATAATTCCCAATTTGGTCAAATTTTATTTTATCTGTTCAGATTTTTTAGGAAGCATCAAACCTACCTTGAAAGATGAGATGATGCAGTTACAAGCTTCAAGTGCCATAGTTCCTCGTGCAGCCTTGGTGCCACCATGACATTTTTTGAAATTATAATCAGTCCATTAAAACCATATTCTAAGAAATTAAGTCTAAAGTTCAATACTTACTTTGTATACCTCTTCTTGAATTCCTTCAACCAGGTTCTGCACAGAAATGCTGGAAATGGATGAAAGTTCTTGGTTATATGATGGATCGCCAAAGAATAGTATGTCATTACCCATAACCTGAATAGGATGGAACAGAGATATTTTGAGCAACAAGAGGTAATATGAGATTGTTCAGTGGTAATACAAGTATAGTAAGTTGATAATAGATGAAACTAGGAACAGAAAGAAGATTGTACTTCATGAAATTCAAGCACAAAAATGGATGTACTATCAACATTTGTAAGAGAATGTACTTGGTTAGTATGCAAGGAAAGATCAGTAGAATTGCACCTCAATTGGAAAATTAAATAAATAATAGAATTATTAGACAAGTATTCTATGGATGAAGATCAGATAAGATTGGCAATTAATTCTAGGTTGATGGACAGCTGTAAGTTTGTCATTGAATGAGGCTGAGATCTTTTGTGTAAGAAGGTGTTAATGAAGACATCATTTTTACCTCTGTATTTTTTACATGGTATGGCAGCGTATTTTGAGAGAATGTTGCTGATAAAGAAATAATAGCACAAAGCGTCCTTGCCCTCAATCTTGGTGTTACCCTACAACATTTTAGAAATGTTAAGCCAATACCAAAATAAACAAATGCATGCAGTTATCAATGTTAAAAGATGCAGTGAAGGCTAACCCTGGATCAGAAGTAACAAGGGATAATAAGCTCTTCGGAATGTAAAAAATTCCTTCTGTAGGATTACCTTCAAATTCGAAGAAAGAAAATGTCAGAACAAAACACACAAATGCACTCTGATATAAAATGAACTAGGAATATGCCAATGGGATAAATTCTTATTTCATGTCAACCATGGCTACAATCATTAATTTGCACTGTATCAAAGGTTAAGAAAATACACCCTAGCAAATGGATCATGCTGAGGTCTCCTCCCATATACGTGATCATAAATTTCCAGGTTTCTCAGGTTTACCATTAGTAAACAAAAGATATAGGATAGGATGGATATGGCCCAAATGCATGAAAGTAGAACCGGGAAAAGATAAAAAGCATTCAATATATTTTTTCAGTAGAAAATATATTTTATTTTATTATACTTGCTAACAGAAATTAGTACAACTTGGTAGTGGGAGTGTCATTCCCAACTTTCATCCCCAAAATATTACCACTTTCAACCTCAAGTTACATAGAAGCCCAAAAAAGTTGCTGCCTCAAATCCCAAGTTACATAAAAAGCATTCAATATTAAACTAATGCAATCAATATTACACTCAAAAATTATAAATAAAGCAAGCACCTAAAGCCAATGGCAATCAGTTGTTATCTTGCTAAAAAGTTGTCTCAAACAAGAAGCAATAAAACTATTGAAAGGGATCAAATTTCCAACTCTCTTTAAAAAGCTATCAAAAAAACTTGCTTCTGGCCACAAAACACAGATTATAAATTTATAATACAAGTTAATTAGTAATGAAATATATGAATAACCTGGAACCATGATCAGGAGGCTGCATAGTTTCCGTATTGAGGAGATAATTCCATCAACATCAACATTTATTTGAGAGCCTAAACAAGGATAATAATGCAATTCAGCATCAGTAAAAACCACATGCCACATGAACAATTGGAATAGTAATATTTTTGCTTCCAACATTGATGTATAGAACTTACCGAGAAAAAGAAAAAAAAAAAAGTAAAAACATTGATGTATAGATGTATGTCTTTACATATGAATCACAACTTAAGGACCACCTACATTTTTTTTCTCTCTAGGGAGTTAATTTCTTGCCCTTTCTTACAAATCTCCTGTCCATTTGCCACTAGTATTTGGGAATTTGGTTTCTCTTTGCAGATAGACTCCCCCTTCAAATGTGGCTAGTTTGTTTGCTTCCTCTACCTTTAGTTCGCCAAAGAAGAGGGGGATCATTATGTGGAGATGCAAAACGCCTTGACTTTTAGCAACTAGGTGCCCTTCTAGGCGATTAAGTGCCTGCCTAGGCAACAAAAATGACAAGGCGGATGCCTTTTAATAATATCATTTATATTGCTGTATCTTATTAACGTATGTGCTCATACATTTTATTATATGATATATATATATATATATCAATTATATTTTGTTTTAATGTTTTACTATTGAAATTTAAAAGATCAATGGGTTTTGAGAAGAGAAAATGAAAGAAAGAAAAGAAAGGGGAAAGAAACAATAGAATAATAAAGTTCTTTTTTTCTATTCTCTCTCTAATTAAATATAACAGAAACTCTATCCTTGTTTTTTTTCTATTTTACTTTCCATCTTGAATATTTATCATATAAAGTTAATAACCTTCTTTAGCTGCTAATTAATATGAATTTGCTCTATTAAATACTTATTATAGTAGTATTATTTTTGAAAATAATGAAATTAATATATGTAAAAGATTTTTATCTTTTAGAAGTGATGATTTGCCACATTTTTAGAGGAAATTTAATGTTCTTAATAATTGCTATTTTTCAATTAACATACATGCTGAATGGTATATAAAACTAGGAAACTAGCCAAAAGTCAGTTTTTCATATTATAAAATTTTTATCGCCTAGGCGTCGGCAACTAGGCGCCTCAGTGTTGCCCAGAAACACCTAGATGCCTTGAAAACTATGTGGTCAGTATGGAAAGAAAGTAAGGCAAGGATCTTCAAAGATCAAGAAAAAAAGTATAACGACCATCATTGAAACCATAACAGACAGTAACTCATTGGATAAAGTTTTTGAGTATCTTTTATCCTTTCTCTTTTGATGATATTGTGTGGAAATGAGGGACGCAGCATGTTCTTCCTCTAAGAATGTGGTGGCGAAAAATTCATGGAAATTGCTCAATAGGAGAACTATGAAATTCAACTTTGATGGAAGTAGTTTGAGGAACCCAGGTCCATCTGGAGTGTGTGGTGTGTTCAGTGATGAACATGGAGTTAAGGCAGTATTCTCAGGCCTAATAGGGATTGAAGATTCCATTAGAGCAGAACTGCTAGTTTCAGGGTATCAGTTTGGCAAAGCAAATAAACATCACTACTCTGCTCATCAAGGGTGATTTAAAGAATATAGTAAGCTGGTTATCTATGTGTTTATTGGCTGCCCCATGAGATTTTGTGCTGAAGTCAAAACTCATGTATTGTCCAAAGAAGAAAATTCACTTGGTGAACCGGGATAAGGTGTGCTCTCTGAAAGAAAAAAGGAGGTTTGGGTATCAAGAAGATGAGGATTTTCAACAAGGCTCTTCTTAGGAAGTGGATCTGGAGATTTGGAATGGAGAGAAACAATTGGTGGAGGAATATTGTTGCAGCTAAATACAACACAAACAGAGGAGACTGGATTACCATTTCTTCTCTCCCCTCCTTAGGTTGCTCCCTATGGAGGAAAATAATGGACATTCTTCCAAGTTTCAACTAGGGAAGGGTGATAGGCTGGCTTTTTGGAAAGATCCTTGGTGCGGAAATACCCCTCTATCAGCTTTATTCCCAGAGTTATTTCAGTTATCTGAACTCCAAGATGCAGTGGTTGCAGACTGTTCTGAGGTATTTGGTAATTCTGTGATTTGGTGTCCTTCGTTTAGAAGGAACTTTCAGGATTGGGAAATTGCAAGCTTAGCTGAATTACTTGAGCTGATCTCCCTCCAGCCCCTGGACCTGTTAAAAGAAGATAGTTGGATCTGGACTTGGAGTACAGATGACCATTTCTCAGTCAAGACTTTTTCCCTTCACCTGTTGGAAAGTAACTTGGAAGACATGCCTGCTTCCGGAATTTGGAACCCGACCTCTCCCTCAAAAACTAATGCCCTGGTGTGGGCTGCAGCTTTAGAAAGGTGTTTAACAAAAGCCCATCTATCTAAGAGAAGCATGCAACTCCAGGATCAGAGATGTGTGATGTGTGGTCAAGATGTGGAGGATAACAGCTATCTGTTTCTTCACTGCCCTATCTCTGCTAGGATTTGAAACCATTATCTCTCCGCGCTGGGCCTTGCTTGGGTTATGCCTGCCTCAGTGAAAGAGATGTTGTGGTGTTGGGTCAAGGGCTGTCAAAGCTTACTACTGCTGTGCGGGTGTCCATTTCAGCTGCAGTAATCAGCACCATTTGGGCAGAAAGGAACAAAAGGCTTTTTTACAACATCTACAAGGACCCAGAGGATCTTAATCCATTTCATTTGGAAAGTTGATCTCTTGGGTCTTGGCATCAAAGGGGATTCAGGCCTCTCAGTTGGGAGATAGGCTGAATTCTAGGAACTTATGGCATTTGTAATCTTGCTTTGATTTGGCTGCTCCCTGGCCAAGGTTTCTCCTTGGGGGGTCCCTGTATTCAATTATGTCTATATTAATAAAATTTACCTTACCCTTTCTCAAAAAAAAAAAAAAATGTATTGTCCACAAGAAGACTTCCTCCTCTTAATCATATACATGATTGATTATATCATTAATTTGAAGTTCATGGAAACAGCCATAGTTGTCAAGGCGGTGCCTAGGCTACTAGGTGCTTTTCAAACTTCGCCTCACCCAAATGCCATGTAAATTTGAATAAGGCGCATGCCTAGGCGACTAAGTGGGCGCTTAACTCCAAGGTGGGCGCCTAGATGCAACTGCAAGACACATTAATACAGCCCTTAATACATTGATCATTTAATATTTTTATATTGTTTTTTTACTTTTTTTTGCTGCAAATAATTTTTATTGGTTTGTTTTTGTTATTATAATAGGACATATCACACATAATCACTCTTTTTATTAGAAGAATGATAGCAAACATTTTGTCTTTTTAAGGTTTTATTTTCAGAACTGAATAGAAGAGGGAGAGTTGTCCGGTCAGGTTTGTTTCAATCACAGTGCAACTCCAACCTGTTGCTGCAATGCTGCATAACCAAGAAGGAAATCTAAACCATTTCAAATATGCCAGGTACATCAAATGAATCATCATCATCTTCTTCTTCTTTCCGCCTTGGACCACTTATTCTTCTTCTTACCCTCTTCGTTTTCAGCCTTTTTTTCTTCCTTTTTGTTGGTTTTTTCCTCTTCTTTTTTTTTGTCTTTTCCCTTTTTTGCATGATTTTTTTTGGAATGAAACAGGGGCTCCGCCCCCTTCTTTTCTTCATTTTCCTGCAATCTTTTCACCCTTTTGATCTTATTCATTTACCTGCACTTTTTTTCCTCCTCGAAGGTGATCTGGAACAGGGGTCCCGCCCCCTTTTCTTCTTCATTTCTCTGAGTTTTTTCATCTTTTTTCCCTCTTCATTGGTGGTCTGAACAGGGGCTCTGCCCCCTTCTTTTCATTTTCTTCTTTTATGTGTTTCCCCGGTTTCTTGGTCTAAAACAGCAGTGGAGCCCCTTGTTCTTTTTCTTTTTTTGGTCTAAAACAGGCTCTCTGCCTCCCTGTTTTCTCCTTAAGTTATTTTTCTTTTCTTGGTCACACACAGGAGCTACTCCCTCTTCAGTTCTTCTTTTAAGTCCGGATTTCTATTTCTACTACTCTGTGTTGCATACTTTAAGCATGACTGAAAGAATCATAAGCAGAAAATTTGGTTCAGAGGTTTGTAGGTTAATGTATAAAACCAAGTAACTAGCTCATGACGGGTAGAAACATGTAGGCTTCCTATTTTTTTGATTTCACCGCCTAGGTGCCTGGGCGCCCCATGGTTGCCTAGCCTCGCCTTGGCACCTTGAAAACTATGGAAATAGCTTCCAACAAATATTAAAGAAATTAAGAGAGTTTGAACTGAAAGGAAATCAACCTCATTGGAAGTTTCTAGAAGACAACCCCATTTTCCAAACTCTTTTTTTTTCTATTTAATAAATGGAACGACAAATCAATTTAAATGTCTTATATCAAATACTCAATTACCAAGAAAAACCACTTCTTTGAATAGTGAAAGACCATTTTCATGAAAAGAAAATACAACTCCAAAAACTATTAATCAATAGATCTGTAAGCAACAATATTGATGCAAGTATTTATGTCATGTAAGTGCTGGCATTAGAAAAAAGTAATGAATCCCAACCTCTGGTTATGTCTAAACTTTGTAAAGAGCTGATTGCCGATTCAATTAGCCCATCTGTATGAGAAACCAAGCCACCTAATAAAGCAACCTGATATGTAGGATCATAACAGTGTCAACGAGTGTAAAGGGTAAGGTTAAATCATTGTTCTGTTTTCTGAAAACCAGATTGGACATCAAACCAGTCTGGTTTTCTCAGCTTAACAAGAAATCAACCACAAAAATCCCAGTTGTCTGAGTTTTCATTGAACCAAAAATGAGTCCAGTTCAACTGGCTGGCCCCATACAATTTTCCAAATATCAGGTTAAGTTGAACAACCCAAAGAAAAAAAAGAAATTTGAGAAACAAAATGTGGATAAAAATAAAAGGAAAAATTACCTCTGCTGTTTCAAGATAGAGATTCATCTGTCTAATGCCAGCTGAAATAGAAGGTATTGTAACTTCACTAAATGCTATGCAAGACTTGACAAAACTGACATGTTTGTTCGTGCCTTTCATAGCTTTAATTGCTAAAGAATTGCTTGAGTGTACAAGGGTTCCCTGCCAGTTCATTCCTTTATACTAGTAAGCAGTAGTTATTAAGTAATCATTACATACTATTGAGACATGTAGCAAAATGGGCATCAGAGAAAAAAAATCAATGGGTTATCCAAGTACAAGACCACAAATTGTGCAAACCTTTAGCTCATTAATGCTACCAAAGGCTCCACGGCATTCAACTAAAAATGTTAAATGGCGATCCATCTCTGTACCATAGTCAACCTACAAAGTAATGTGCATGAATGCAAACAAATTATCTTCATAGCATGATAAGGATTTAGAATCTGAACTAACAGATAAATCTAGTCAATAAGAACATACCATCTGGATAAAATGAGAAATGAGGCGTGCTGACTGTTGATTATCATCATCTTTGATACTTGAAAAATCTATACCGTCATGAAGAGCCTGAGAAATTTCAAAAAGCAACTGTATGGTTGTTGGATCACGAATATAACCATTCCTGTCAAATGAAACTGGGATCAAATATGATCGATATTGAATACTTAACACACCAACAACCAACATGAATTGTAACATATGGTAGTGGGTGTATATAAATTCACTGGGAGATATAAAAGGCAACACATCTTGCCACAGACACACACACATGTACTTCTGAAGAAATACAAACAGGAACAATTATCATCTCAACCCAAATTTAAATTCATAACCTCGTGATTTCTCAGACAACTTAGTAATCTTAGTTCCTAACAGCTGACATATCTTTTAATAGAATTATGTTAAATGACTCCAGTGGAAGTGAATCATCTTAAAATGGGTCTGACATCTGAACCCTCGTACATCTTTAGAACAATGACAAACAATTCTATAACTTGCACTAGTTCAAAGATGATTGCATCTAAATCAATAAACGCACCTGGTTGCCTTATTAAGGATATGCATATTGACAGTGTTTCGCGAAGTCCCATACATCACATCTAAGATCTCAACAAAATGATTCTACAAAACAAGCATGGCAAGTCACAGCCAATTTGGAATCCACATCTAAATCATTTATCATGGTGAACAAGTGAGCAAATCATTATAATCATAATAGAGAAAAAGTAACATGTTTATACTTTACAGGTAAAGGCTACTGAAAACATATTACATTACTAAAATAGTTCAGGAAAAAGGGAAGAAAAGGTATTGTTGCATGACTCACACTTACCAATGCAAATGCATCTTCCAAGTCATTAAAATGAGTAAGAAGCTTTATAAAAATGGATTGCAAGCTGCCCAATTCACTTTCAGCAACCACTTTATCAGATGCTCGTTTTGAGATGCCATCTAGAATTATAGTTAAATAATTCTCCTGGGATAGATTAGACAACTTTTAAGGTAGCTATCAAGATAGGAACAGTATTGAAATTTGACAAAAATATGACTCTCCATTGAAAATGTGCATTGAAAACTTTGAGATATATAACCCAAATAAAGAACTTGAAAAGAACAAGGAACCACATACTCTGGAGCCCAGGTCTATCATAAGAACTAAAGCTTAAAGATCTAAATCAAATAAAGAATATTACTTTCCTGGTTCAAGCTCAACATGCATCAAGCAACAAATGAAACTACTTATGAGAAAGTATTACACAGCATTCACATGAATGCAAAGACAGATCATGATTCAATGGAGTAGGTGTTTGTGATGATATATTCATGACTCAGCCAATCAGATAAGACAGTGGTTTCGTGGACAGGGAGGTGTGTTAAGGTGACCTTACCTAAGCATTTAATAGTAAGTGGATGGTTCACAAGTGCTTACTAAAGAAATGTGTTCATCTCTGAGAAACCCTTTTTCAGCATGGTAGGTGTTTGGGTTATGGTTGAGCTGGCCCAGGGTGCCACATGTCACTTTCGCGGCCGTCTTATCTCTTCGGCCACGTCGGCACCACATAAGATGGATAAGTGCGACCAAGAAAGGAGAACCCCATACGGATAAGGAGGACAGCTCTGCCAGGGATTAGGTCTTATCCCGAAGACCTTAGTGGACAACCTCATCCCGATAACCCTGGAAGCCTCATCCGAATAGGACATGGATCTTCGGCTATAAGTAGGTAACCTCCGCTCAAGGTAAAGGACTTTTGACTCTTCAGCCTTGATATTGTTATTCTACCTCTGCTCGAACCAGCACGTTTCTCTCAACTACTTGGCCCGACTACCCATTCTTCTTACTGACTTGAGCATCGGAGTGCCTACCTAGGGAATAACTCCTCGGGCTTCTAATCACTTTCCTGTTTCAGATCTTGCTGCACGGCTTCGTCCTTCCACCTCGGCTTCGCCAGTTGGTAGGATTATCTGACTGCAACCTCGGTTTGGGACACCTCGGATCGAACAGCATCAATAGGCATTAATGAGGAGACAAACGTGCAGTCATTCAATTAGCCAAGGTTAGGACCAAGTACATTCACTGATCAATGCAGCCAACAAATAAATCCTGACTAGGGATTATGGTCAGCTACAAGCATGCCAAACACACTTCACCCAATAGGGTGCACATTAAAGATGTGGCACGCTTGATCGGGTATGGTTACCAGAGTCTGAAAGACTGGACCTTAAGTAGGCTATAAATACAGACAATTAACATGCATGTAAACACAACACTGGATGACTGTTGTCTTTAAGAATACTAGTCCTGTCCTTAGATGATTTTCCTCTCTTTCCCTATCTCTTCCTAGTCATCACCCACCTCCATCCTCTGGCAACTAATCAATCTTCCCATAGGTACACATTGTAAAGGACCCCTACATTAGGTAAAAACCATACTGCATAACAAGATAACAGCAATAGACAGGTGATTTTTTTGAAGAGTAAAATAGAAATTTATTAAAAGAAAAAGATCAGTTACATGTAGTAGGTGACAAGATGACATCTAGCTTACAAAACAGAGCAAAACTGAACTGGGTACAGTCCAAAACTAAGACTGGTACGCGTGCATCATTGAATCTTAAGCAAACTCCAGAAATTTCCCCCCAAATCTAATCTGTTTACTTGACTGAAATATGGTAACACCCAAACCCAATCTGCAATCAACTTCCCTACCAGAGCCACCAGAACTTCTGTGTTCTTGAGTTTGTCTTCAAAGATCCTCCTGTTCCTTTTGTTCCATAGTGTCCAGCACACAGCAAATGGGATGCAACTCCAAACTATCCCTGCTTTCCTACCTCCCCCAAATCTTGGCCAGGTGGAGAAAATTTCTGCTGCTGAGCTTGGCTAAATTGCACTTTTCCCAAATAAAGAAGTGTAATAACTCCACATGATTCTTGCATTCTTGCAAGTGGAATGTAAGTAACAGATTCTTCACTTATCCCTGCCTCCCTTCATCTCCCCCCTCCTTACTATATTGAAATCACCTCCCACACACCAAGGTCCCTCCCAAACCCCCCTTAGACTCTTCAAGTCATCTAGAAATTATGCTCTTTCCCCCTCTGAATTTGGCCAATAGACATTTGTTACCCCCTAACACCAATCTCCATTCACCTCCTTCAAGCAGACTGAGACTGAATACTTACCCACCTCTTCACCAATTTTTCTGAAAACCCCCAGATCCCAAAAAATGATTAAACCCCCTGACAACCCTTCAGCATCCTTCTCCACCCATTCCCCGCTTCCCTTTCCCCAAATCTCCTCCATCATACTCATGTTGAAGGAAACTAACTTTGTTTCCTGCAGCTTGACTACTTCTGGACGGTAGTGCCGAATCAGGTTGCTCACTGATGTCCTCTTGTTACTTTCCCTAAGGCCCCCAACGTTCCAGCTCAGTATCCTCATCCTCACTTCCCTCTTCTACCCCTCCTTGATCAGCTCTTACTCCCCTCTCACAAATCCTCTTCTAACATTTCCTCTTCGCCCCCTTCCTCATCCCACTCTTTGTTCAGCCCATTTAGTTCCTTTCTCTTACCCTTCTCCTCCCTCCTGTCCTTTTCAAATTGTGTGAAGGCTCTTCCTGCAAATTCCTCTCCTCCCCAGAAAAACAATCCTAGAGGCTTACCAATTGTTACCTCCCTCTCTGCAAGTTTGTTAATCTCCACTTCACCTTTTTGAGCACTCTCCAACCCACCCGGCTTCTCACCCCTTCTCCCCTCCTCCTCCCTCTCCCCTCTTCGAATCTCCTGCCCATCTTCCTTATCTGTTTCCCTTGGCTCCTTTCCTTCTTCAATACCTAGGCTGCCTCCCTCCAATCTTCTCTTTCTATTGTACACTTTCCTCATTTCTTCTCCCTTCCCCCCCCCTGTAGGATACTTTCTTTTCCTTCCCCCGACTCCTCCTCCTTCCCATTCCCCTGCCTTCCTCTTCTCCCCCAATTGGTGCTCTCCCTCCAACCTAGAGACTGAAGGAACTGAGCTTTCAGGAATTCGTACCTCATCCACTGTTTGGGTCACCTGGGATGAAGTCGAACCTTCCCAACTCTCTTTCTCTCTCTCTCTGATCTGAGATTGATCTTGCTTCTCTATGTTTTTCTTTGTTTTTTGGTTTTTTTTTTTTTGAAAATTTTAAATAAAACATATTGGACTGCAAACTGTTGCCAGGGTCGAACGGTTCAATGGTTAGACCATCTTGGTCAACAGTTTGTTGACCAATTCAACGATTATTAATAATGTGATAGAACAAGAATTAGAAGAAATTGATGTCTTTCTATTGAGAAAGTAGTATATATATATACAACCTTGTAGATACTAAAAAGGAAGAAAATCATACAGCCTTGCAGATACAAAGAAAGGAAGAAAATCATACAGCCTTGTAGATACTAAATAGGAAGAAAATCAAAGAAAGAATAATTCCTATAATCAAGCTATTCCTAATTGGGCTAATACTACATATTTACAGCCTATAATTTCATAACAAATAAGATAACAATTCAGAACTAAAACAGAACCGGTACCTTAACCAGTTTCCGGTCCGAACAGTCCGACCGTCCGGGTCAATGGCAGTTCGAAAACACTTCTCAAAACCTTATGGCAAGAGATAGATCATTTCAAGACTATGGTTTGGGAAAGTAGCAAAGATGCAGCAACTTATCAGAAGTTGGTAGAGAAGAATAGGATTTTTGAGTTTCTAGTAGGACTTAACCCCGAGTATGACATTGCACGACAGCATATTCTTTATCGAGACAGTCACTCTCTCTCAGGCATATGCCTTGGTGTCTGGCAAAGATAGAGTTTCCACAGACAATCTGACAAAAAGCAAAATAAAAAATAAAAAAAGTAATAAAATCCACTTTTCCTTTCCATCCCACATTTCTGTATCCACTGCAATCCAAATACTGCTTCACTATAGCCTAGTTTCTACTCATGCAGTCAGCCATTCATGCTTGTTACAAACACACATTCCATATACTTTGTCTTGCTCTAGCTTCTTTACGTTTTTGGACTCTAAACTCTAAAACATCATTTTATAGGTATTTATATCTTCTACTCTTGCTGACCAACACCATGTCACAATATAAATAGATCATGACATCGACGGGCTGGCCTACAACACACAAAAGTTTGGATCTGCTATGCCCATCACTATTCAAGGGCCATGAAATGTGGAACAGCATCCATCTGTAGAGAAGATGGAGGGTAGTTATGTCATTTTATCTTTCCTTCTTATATTTTAGTAGGCGTGTACATTAGTGTACATCTTCCTTAATTAGTTTGTAAGGACAAATTTGTCCATTCATATTTCTTTAATATAAATACTCTTTTTGGGTTGGTTCAATCAGATTGACCCTAACAGATCTGGACTATTGTTCTTCCTCTTATCTCCTCACTTTCACACAAACTAACATGGTATCAGAGCAAGTTGTTCTCTGATCCATTACTTGTTCTTCTAATCTGTTTGAGAGCTGTTTAGGACTAAAAATATATGATGTAAGAAAAATAATATAAATAAATATCAATGTTTTAAAACACGGAGGCGTCTGCGAGGCGTTTCACTACCTAGAGGCGTGAGGCGTAGTTCAGAACGCAAGAGGCGTAAGCCTCCTTAAGAGG